AGTAGGCCCAGGCTGGGCTGAAACCCACCACTTTCAGTGTATGTGGCTGGCACCCTACTCACTGAGCTATGGGCGCTGAGCCATAGCTTAGAAATTCTGGTGAAAAGCTTTGTGATCTTTTTTCCTACAAGTTAGATCTCCAGTATTAGTAAAACTGAGTTCTGGAGCATGATTAGTCATTCCTGAAAGCGAGAATCTTCTCTGTGGCTGCTTCAAGGGGTGGGAGGTGGGGTGGTGAGCGCTGTTCATGTCTGGTCTGTCTTCCCACCCTCCTTCCTCCCCAGGACACAGCTCCTCCCTCTCCTTCCCCCTTTTCTGAAAGTCTTCCCCAAATCAGCATGCCAGAGGTGCGTCTTCATTCTTGCTTAGCCTCTGAGGTGTTCTCTGCTGTACACAGTGTAGGGATTGGCTATCTCTTTGGAAATTTCAACTTAGGTAAACAGCAGCTGAAACCTTCCCTTTTTCTTTCTTCCTGAGCCAAGAAGGATGACGTTACTCTTTGCTTTGTTTAGGAAATCTCCCTGGGCTTCCCTCCTCCCCGTTCTCTCTCCCCTGTGGGGGCCCTCCTGTTGGTTTACCTGGCCACAGCTGTCAGGGGTGTGTTCTCTGCTGCCAGGGCCCTAAGTAATGACATCATCCTGTGCCTTCTGGAAGAGCGTCTGTTTGAGGTCACTTACTGTATTTACTATACCCAGTGGTTTTAATTTGTGTGTGTTTGACTTAATAGTAATAATAATAATAATAATAATAAACTGACATTTGTGGAATGTTCACTAATCTCCCCTTACCTGGAAAGGCAGTGTGATTAGGAAACCATTCATTGACTCTGAGAATCAAAAAAACAGATCTCTCTGTCTCGCCGCTTACAGAAAAGCGCCTTCATCCTGGTTTTATTTTTTTACATCTTCCTTATCCTCCTCCAAGCATTGTTGACAGAAGAAAAAAAAAATCTGTGCTCTAAGGTGCTATTTCCACGCAAAAAGGAATCATTACTGTAATCATGCGTCTCCTTTTCAACCTTATAGCGTTAACAATCAAGGCAAAAAAGGCAAAAGATATGCGTCTTCCACTAGAAGGCTAGTGAATTTTGGTATTTTAGAAATTCTAGAGCTATTCAAGTCCTATTTTCAGCGTACTTGTCCAGTTGAATTTTGAGGTGACCCCAACTGTGTGTTTTAATGAAGGGTAGACAACACTCCTTGCTTTCTGTGTGGTGATCAGTCCTCCCACTGAAATCACACACTTTTTGAATAAGCAGCAGATGGTTCTGTCAAGCATTTACATTAGGGAACCAACTTCAGTAAATAATTTTTGTGTGTGTGAGAAAAGCTGTAAGAGCTAAAACATCGCCATCTGAAGACATCGAAGTTGAGTAACTAGTGTAAATAATCAGTACTTTTGCCTTTGATGATACTTAATCAAAGCAGCTTCCCAGCTCTTTGCCTTTCCCAGCTCAGGCTAGTGGGGTGTCTGGACATGCCGTGCACACGTCCCGCTGGGAGACACCAACTCATGACTGTAGGTGGACTTGTTTATGTTGGGGCCTCCGTGAACTTTGCTAGACTCTGCCAAGTTCTACTACTGACCAACATTTATTTTTTGCTCCATTTCTGCATCTGAACCAGTTTAAAGAGTCCAGGTTTTGCAAGAACACATTGGTGTCTCATAATGAGACACATGTCCCAGTCTTCCATACCCTTCCCCTTTCATAGGAAGGGATAATCCAGATGTGAATAAGACTTAGGAGTCCTCCAGACGTTCTCCCTCTCCCTCTCTCTCTCTTTTTTTAAAAATAGAGGATATATTTGGATGCCTTAGGCAACCTACCTTGTGCTTCCTCTTCCTGCCTGGTTATTTTGCAACTGGTACACTCAGGTAGATGCCTCAATAAATCAGAAAAGTCCAAGGAACTTGATTATAAAATTAGGCAGCACTTGAGATACGGCCGGGAAACCTTCTCAGGCAGGGATGAGGAAGATGGTATTGTCTTTTCCTGAGAACACACTGAAGCTACCTGCCTTAACAAACTCTAATATTTACATTTTGTTATTTTTTATCATTTTTTAGGTGTGTTTTAAAAATTGTTTCTAGAGGCTCGGCGCCTGTAGCACAGTGGTTATAGCGCCAGCCACATACACCAAGGGTGGCAGGTTCAAACCCAGCCCAGGCCAGATAAACAACAATAGCAACTGCAACAAAAGATAGCCCAGCATCGTGGCAGGTGCCTGTAGTCCCAGCTACTTGGGAGGCTGAGGCAAGAGAATTGCTTGAGCCCAAGAATTTGAGGTTGCTATGAGCTGTGACACCACAGTACTCTACCGAGGGGAACATAGTGAGACTCTGTCTCAAAAAAAAAAAAAGTTTTTACAAAAAACTGGCTGGCATTATGGTGGGCACCTGTAGTCCCAGCTACTGGGGAGGCTGAGCAAGAGACGCAATCGCCTAAGCCCAGGAGTTGGAGGTTGCTGTGAGCTGTGATGTCATGGCACTCTACCAAGGGTGACAAAGTGAGACTCTGTCTCTACAAAA